AAGAAGGACTTCGCGAGAGCGGCGAGGGTGCTGCGCGACAACTGCGAGGCGCACGGGCACAGCGAGAGCTGCTACAAGCTGGGGGCTTACCAGGCCATCGGCAAAGGTAGGCCGGGGGTGGGCAGTCCTGGCGCCCGTGTCTCTGCCTCCGCGTCCCCGCCGCCCCGGCACTGCGCCGGGGCCTCCCTTCCCTGCCCTCATGTCTTCAGTTGCCTCTGAGCCCCTCCTGGCCGCTGCCCGAGCCGCGGGTGGTTCGGCGCGGTGGTGGGTTCTTCTGGTGGCCCTGCCAGCAGCGAGAACCCCCCTGGGTATGGGCACCGGGGAGAGTGGCTGATGGCGGCGGGGAAACACAGCTCTGGGTTTTGCAAAGGTGCTGAAGACCTGCATTTCCTTCCGACCTTGGAGGAGGAACTACCCGTCCCGCCCCTCTTACGGTCACATCCTAAAAGCTGGGGAAGGGTGGAAACCTCTTATATTGCTTCCTTCTGAAGGAATGACTTTAGGTTTAACCACGTGTATTATTTTTTTATAATTATGTTGAAGTGGTAAGTATATCGAGTGCTGAATGTTGCTGTGTGTTCTGTTCTTAAAACTTGGTTTTCTTCTCGTCTTGCTGTTCTCTTTTGGAGAAAGTAAGGAAGAAATAAACTTACAGACTGGTAATGCTGCTTACATGAGTAGGCCCCAAGTCTGCCCAAAATGTATCCGCTGGTACAGTAATGAGAAGCAGTTAAACTAGTGAGGCTTCTTCCAGATGACAATACTAGTAAGAAACATGATATTTTTACTGTAGTTCCAAACTAGTAACAATCTCAGTGTACGTGTAGGTATACTGGTAAAAGAATACTTTGCATAGCGTAAGCTATTAAGAAATCCATAGATGTAGCAGCAGAAACAGTGTTTTGTGGGTTTTGTTTGGTTGTTGTTGGGGGTTTTTTTGTCTGTATAAGCTGCTCTCATTACTGGAGAGTGGAGGAGGGTTTCCTCACTTGAAGACATTAGCAAAACCTTTGTCACTGAGACAATGACAGTGTCTCTGAAGTCCTAAATTTTGACCGTAGCATCTACAGTGAGGGATGCTGTATTTCCCAAAAAGCACTGGGAAGTGTGCTGCAAAGTAGAGAGCTCCTGTCTGTTTTAGCATGTCCTTACAGTAATCTTTTGGTTTCTTGGCCAACAGGTGGACTCAACCCAGATTTGAAAGCTGCCTACAACTCTTTTATGAAGTCATGTGAGAAAGGTGGGAAGAAGTCAGTAAATGCATGTCATAGCGTTGGGCTGTTGGCCCATGATGGGCGAGTAAACGATGATAAACCTGACCCTGTTGTTGCTAGAGACTATTACACAAAAGCCTGTGATGGCAATTTTGCTCCCAGCTGCTTCAATCTCAGCATAATATACCTCCAAGGAGCACCTGGGGTCCCTAAGGACATGAACCATGCTTTGAAGTACTCGCTGAAAGGGTGTGAGCTGGGTCACATGTGGGCTTGTGCCAACGCCAGTCGAATGTACAAACTGGGAGATGGCACTGAGAAGAATGATGCTAAGGCAGAGGATTTGAAAAACAGGGCAAAACAGTTGCATAAAGAACAGAAAGAAGCCCCGAGTTCTTTAACATTTGGGGTGTAAACCTGTTGGTTGCAGTTATTAAGACTGCAGTTTTAAATGGCAAGTGAACTTGCTATTTAAATTGTAAGCATATAGTTTTCAGTCATAATAAATAAATATCCTGTAAGTATTTGCATATGCAAATAAACATATTTTTGTGGATGGAACAAACATGACCAACTCTGCTGTGCCTTTCTATATTTTTAAATACACGAGTTCTTAAGTGTATTGCTTAGATTCCTCCTCTTCTTTAAGGAAGACAAAAACGTCTGGCCTTTTGGAAGTTTGTGCTTGTGGTTTCAAGTATGAAATTTGTCCATAATATTTTTATTTTTTACTCCACTGCAAATGTTTCTAAGCAGGAACTGTAATTCTGTACTTGGCTGAGGCTGAATAGCTTCCTATTGTGTAAAGGTTTCTGCTCTGCAGAGACTGTCATGAATCCCACATTTTCTGAGCTAACCTCTTGCTGGAACAAGCACGGATTTTGATCTGCTTTTGCATAATGTTTAAGTCTCACCACTTCCACTTTAAAACCGTGCTTATTTTGTCCTCTTTGGCTGCAGAAATACTGTTCTTTGCTTGTATCATCAACTTTGTTAACTGTGAGAAGTTCATCCAGGCTGCATGTTGATCCTGGACAGTGTCTCTCGCTGTCTGTGACCTTTCCAGGTCCGGGAGGGGGACACATGCTGCTATAGGTCCTCAAAGTGTGAAGCTTTTCCCCAGTCAGCTTAGATCTAGAAGCATTTAAGTCATGTTCAGATGATGCCAAGCCCAAAACAATAACGAGCCTGTATGGTGGTAGGTACATAGGAACATCTCTGCCTGTAGATCTTGCAAATGAAATGTTTGGTTATAAATTTGCTGCTGATTTAGAACATGAATGTTCTCGCTATGCTCTGAATAAAGATACACACTTACTGTTGAGGTAAATTAAGTAGGAGAAAAAACAACACTAATTTGGCTATTGCCACAATTGAAAGCAGAATTGTTACAATGTCATTGCATGCTGTCTTGGGCAAAGCTTGTACGAATTAAAGCAGTTCTTCCAACTGAACTGAATGTGGTGCGTTCGTGTGTGACTGGGTTTTGGTAGCGGGGAAGGGGCCTACGGAGGTGGCTCCTGTAAAAGGCTTCGA